GCGACACCGCGGTGCATTGTTCAGCAACATGGACAGCTCTTCGAGGAAGTTGGGTGCACCATTTCGACTGCTCGTGTTGACATCTTCCTGGAGCAGATGTGAGTTCGCTATACAGGCATAATTTATTTTTGCATTCAGGTGATTTATGCCCTCTTCTTTCCCATAAGCCGGTATTTTGATCGTTTTATCCTGAAATTTTTGTATTTTCACATGCACACAATTCTACTAACCCCCTTTATGACTTAGGGTGAAAGACATGGCGGCCGCAGACGGACGTTGGTATCGGGCTGACGAAATTCAGATTGCCATTTCAGGCGCAGTACTTAATGCAACGTTCAATGAGACTACAACGGACTATGACAACTACGCTCTGAATGTTATAAGGCTTGTTGGACTCAGCATTAAAGATAACAGCTCAATCATGTTAGCGCAGAAAAAGTCCCTTCCCACTTCCCATGAAAACCACTGGAAGACGTGGGTTATCGAAAACACCGAACGGCTTCTCAGACGCGCATTTCTCACACACCGTGTGATACACTGTGTATGGCAGCAGAATATTTAATCCTAAAATTTTTTTGAACTTAAAGATTTGCTGCTTTTAGGATGCTTTCATCCACTGTAACCTCTGTCTTTTTGCATGTTGTTTCTTAATTTGACGATGACAGCACATAGTTTGTTTGACCAGTAGAATTTTCGGCGGGAATACAGTGTCGCAACACTTAGAATTGTCTATTCCCCCACCAGCCTGTCTTACGGGCGGACTACTACTACTACTACTACTACCACTAATACTACTACTACTACCACCACCACTACTACTGCTACTACTACCACTACTACCGCTGTTACTACTAATACTACTACCACTGGCGGGGATACAGTGTCGAAACACTGAAGAAAACTTTTTCCCCCCTCTACCACCACTGATACGGCGAATACAACTAATAATCCTACTTTTAGTACTACTACTACTACTACCACCGCCACCACGGCTGCCAATGCTACTCTGCCAACGCTTACAGTATGGGTAACTAACTGCAATAATACTAGCATCAGTAACGGAGTGTTGCGACACTGGTATCCAACCTTAATCCCTCCCAAGAACCCCAGAGAAATCACTTTCGCGGACACGTTGAGGATGTTATCAGAGGTATTCTGTGGCCAGTCGTCGAGTTCAATGCCTTCAACTGTGCCTTACGCTAACACCTATCCTCTAACCATAGTCCTAACCGTCAACCCTGACCTTTTATCCTAATTTCAAATCCATGACCCCCTTACACCAAATCAAACGCAAATCCTCATGGCAACACTTTGGGAGGCGTGACGAGGAAGCAGCAAAAGAAGGTGGTTAAATAAAGTCTGCCCAAATAAACTAAGGACTACGTGTGTTCATATAATTGCTCGCCACCGTGCGTTCTTGTCGGACTTGCAAGTTTGCCCTTAGAACTGTCAAAAAATTCGCCTTATGTTCTGCGAGTGCCGGGTCATACTACATTCCGAATCTGAACTAAAGATTAAATCAATAAGGAAGTCCAAATTCACTAAAATAAATGGCCATGTTAAACTTTTGAAACAAGCTGTCCCCCTAAAAGTACGCACTGGTAAAACAAGTGTCAGTCGACGCAAGTTTTACTTCAGTAACAGAGCGGTTGCAGCGTGGAACGCCCTGCCCACTGATATTGTCCTCTCCTCCCGTCTGGAGTCATGTAAGTGCAAACTGGACGCGCACCAAGAATCTCGATTATGAGGCACCTTTACGCCCACAACCGACCGCCGAACTGTACATAATTCAAACTACTTACAACAAGTGAGTAAGCGTTCATGTTTACATATGAAGACAGCTACTTCTTTTTGCATGCAATTATGTAAACAATATCTTTTTTTCAACATTCCACTTATCTTTGCTTTTTCTTAGACATTTTCTAACCAATAGGCGGTTAAAAGGCGTTCGCACATCTTCCGCTAGTAAAAATGGACTAGACTGGCCTGGACAAACAGATTACAATCTTGTTCGTCGTTTCTACTCGCCCGTTACCCTTCGAGTGATATTTTTTACTGCCAGTCTTATTAAACCCCAAGTACTACAATGATGAATAAAAACGATGTCTTTGAATATCGCCATTCCATCTGTGCTGCAAATGGCCTGCGCGACCGTCTCAGTCGACATATTTGCAATGTTTCTAATTAAGCCATTTTAGTACGGAGGTCCAGATCCGATGTACGCTTGTGGAACAACGGAATTTCCCTTCAGCCAACAGATAGATTGGTTGCGGAGATAATTCGCAGACAGAATCGCGACTGCCGATGCCATGGCTGTGTTTAAACAAAAAGTGGACTGTTTCAGGTTTGACAAACTACGCCTTTTCACTGAAACATCTTATACAGCCTGATATGAACTCCCTTCCTTGCTCGGAAGAAATATGTAAGCATGTGCAGTGGCCAATAGATCGGATTCCTACTTACTGACGCCGTCAGTATAGTACCATCACTTCTGTGCCTCCAGATATTTCTTTCTTCGGAATAACCTGCCGATCGGTATAGATCACTGAATAGCCTATCTGCACTTGAGAGAAGACTGTGCATTCATCTTAATACTGACCGTAATAATTCTTCATTTTCCTCATCCCCTCAAACAGGCCTCGGCATTCTTTCCAGAAAGAACCATCGAAATTTCCTCCCCCTGTTGGGTTTTAATCCATTGCCATCAATCAGCAGAAATTTTGATTTTTTCATTCTTTGCGTCGTGAAGTCCACAAAACACCGTGTCCTCCGTAGCCCACCTCACGGAAAAATAATCGAGGTCGTCTTGACTCAGGCTTTCTGGACCATCTTCGTTTCGCTCACTGCCCACCCTCATCAGGACTCCGCTACGGACGCTGGGATGACGTTGCAGCAGCCACATTGTCGGTCTTACCCCAGGTCACCGTGCGCACTACAATGACGCTTTGTACTCTCCTGCTGATTTGCATTCCGAATCAATAAGGAAGTCCAACTTCCCTAAAATGAATGGCCATGTTAACATTTTGAAAGAAGCTGCCCCATTTTACTTGATTACTAGATAATTTTTCATCTCCTAAAACTACGCACTGGTAAAGCAAGTGCCAGTCGACGCAAGTTTTACTTCAGTAACAGAGCAGTTGCAACGTCGAACGTCCTGCCCACCGATATTGTCCTCTCCTCCCGTCTGGAGTCATTTCTGTGCAAACTGGACACGCATCAAGCTTCTCGATTATGAGCCACACATAGGCCCACAACCGACCACCGAAAAGCACTTAATTCAAACTACTTACAACATGTGAGTAGACGTTCGTGTTTATACTTGTAAGCAGTTGTTTGTTTTTGCATGCAATTATGTAAACAATATCTTTTTTTTCAACTTTCCACTTATCGTTGCTTTTTCTTAGACATTTTCTAACAAATAGGCGGTTAAAACACTTTCGCATATCTTCTGGCCTCAAAAAACAGACTACAATTATGTTCCTATCACCCTAGGTCACCGTGCGCACTACAATGACGCTTTGTACTCTCCTGCTAATTTGCATTTACAACTTAACCCTAAACTGAGGATAGGCATACCCAGCTCCAGAATGGTATTACCGACAAAGACAAGGGAAACCGGAATGGTCATTTCTAAATTATTTGCCGTTGTCAGCCAGTCATACCAGGTACCGAATTGGGGAACACCTAGGGCTCGATCCCGTGACCTGTTAGTTAGAAGTCCAACACCTCTAACCACTGAGCCACGGGCTCGTTATCTTGTCGGTCGCGATCGGGAATATACAATGGTAGAGGGGACGCTTACCGATCGTTTCTACGGCACTCTCTCATCCTCCTCCTTATACACATTCCCTTTCTCTCTAAAAACTTACGATTTATAATTTACAGATATTGTTGTCGTAAGTGTCGTATGCGAGAAGACGAACCACTGGCGGACGTGAAACACTTTCTTACTTTACGCGAGGCAATCTTTAGATCCTATTTTACAGTTGACTGCTCATACATAGAATGATTGTTTATGTTGTCTGTGTTTTATCATTTAACTCGGTGTTACTTTTGCTAGGATTATGTCCTTCAGGCCTTGTGAACGAGGATGAGCAGACCATGAAGAAACTTCCTTCATATCAATGAGTCGCCGAAGAAGGTGTCAAACGAATGTGGTTAGGGAGATTTTAGAGATGAGTGGGATAGGGCCGCCCTGTAGACGAGAGCTTGGTGGGAATCGAAATGAGTGAAGAAGAAGAGTCGAGCACCGGAACACTGTTTATTGTCCGGAGCTTTCAGACTCGTACAAGAGTCCATCGTCAGAGGTATTAGCAGCAACAGGACAAACGACAGTTATAAGGCATGCAGACCGATCATAGACCGATGGCACAAGAGTTGAGGTGACTACACAGGACTCTGTACGTCGGCGCCAGATCGATATATTGATTGAACGAGTTCTCATCCAAGGCCCAGGCTTCAATCAATTCTCGACCTGTGTTGTTTCCGGCGCAGACGACTATTTTGGTGGCCGCGAAGTTAAACTCCTGACCCAGTTCGTAGGTGTGGGTAGCCGCTTGTGATAATGCGTCGCCTCGTCGCACAGCCAGCTTATGTTCGTGTATGCGCGATCCGAGCATTCGTACAGTCTGTCCTGTGTAGTTAGAAGGACAATTTTGACACAGAATGCGATACACCACTCCAGATTGCTCTTCAGTATTTAACCGCTCTTTGATTTTCATAACCCTATTGCGCATGGTGGCTTTGGGGCGGTGGGATATTCCAAAAGCTAGCTCCGCACCAATGCGCTCGGTCGCTTCTGAAACGCACTTGATGTATGGCAGAGAATGCCATATCGTCGGTGGCGTTGATGTTCGAGTTCTCTGGTGGCGACCGCGTAAGCAGCGACTTATGAATGCCCTCGAATAGTTATTTTGAACAAGCTGGTCGCGGAGATAACGGGCCACACGTGCTCTGTCCTCCGGTTTGCTGCAATGCGTTTGGATCCGTTTGAAGTGCGTCTACACACAGCTTCGTTTGCGAGGCTCCGGATAGTTGCTGTGAAAACTGAGAGGCTGTGTGGTGTTCGTTGCCCTCCTCCCTTCCTTTGTTTCAAGTTCACCGTTAAGGTTTCGTCTGGCAAGCACATCCAGGAAGGAAAATTGCTGTTCCTGTTCTTCTTCCCTCGGGAATTTTATATCAGGAAGGACTTCGTTGTGCAGGCTGTGGAAATGTTGCAGCATGTCCTTCTTTACGATGACAAACGTGTCGTCTACGTAACGGCACCAAAACACCGGATCATGTTGGATGAATGCAATCTTTTCTATCTCCTCTGTAACCAGTTCTTCCACTAAACCGGAGACCGGTGAATCCGTTGGGGCTCCCTTGATTTGTTCATAGGTCTTTCCCCCAAATGTGAAGAAAGTTTTTTGGCAGAATTCAAACAGCCTCATGAGGCGTTCAATTTTGAGGGCATTCTGAGTCTCATCGTACGCCTCTTCATATCTCTTGCGCAAGACTTCGCTAGCCAAGTTTGGTGGGATGGATGCGAATAACGACGTCACATCGAAGGAGACCATGATTTCGTCCGATTGAATTCCCCTACCTCAGAGGTCTATGAGGAAGTGAGAGACTGATCGAACTGAGGTAGTCGAATTGCCTTGGAGGAACTTCAGTTTTGAGTACATCCACTTTGCCACATTGTAGGTGGGGCTGCCTTTTAGGGCAACAATTGGCCGAAGTGTGACACCTCCAGTCTTGCACCGTCGGTCGATGATCGGCCTACATGCCTTATAACTGTCGTTTTTTCTGTTGCTATTACTACCTCTGACGATGGACTCCTGTAGGAGTCTGAAAGCTCAGGACAATAAACAAAGTGTTCCGGTGCTCGACTCTTCTTCGATTATGCATACACTTGGAACTCGAAATTTCTTCTTCATTCGGGAATTGAAATGTCTCCCTTCCCGAGGCAACTCTTAAACCGTCCACCAATATCAGTATCTGTTCTTCTGAGCTCCCGTGCCAATACTGCCAATGCAAATACCAACGAATTCACACATAAATCTCGAGTGAAGCCGTCGATGTTAAGTCAGTTTATTAAGGGAATGAGGTTTTCACCCTTGAGCTCCCTATTCATATCGATAAACAGAAATAAAGTCATCAATTACATCAGCAAATGCGGAAAGTTAAAAAATTAGCGGTAAGTGTGAGCCAGGCGCAAACTGCCGTCGCTAAAACAATCGTTATTGTATGTACAGTAGTTTCTCAACAAATGAGCATCTGGTCTACACTTTAAGGATTCGACACTTTCGGAAATAACCACCGCATCAGGGAGTCCGTACCATGCCCCAATGACCCTGTGAGAGAAGGCCTTCCGTCGAACGTCCGAATGAATCAGCTTCCTTTGCAGTTTGAAGGGATGACCACGCAGGCGATCCGTCCCGGCCAATTTGAAGAATTCCTCAAAGTCTAGGACACACTCACGGCCTCTGAGAATCCTGTAGGTTTGAATGAGATCGCCGCGCAGTTGCCTGTAATTTAGAGGAAACAGATTTAGTTCGGTCAGCCTGGTTTCGTGAGGCAAATGATGAAGATTCTTGACCATCTTCGTAGCCATCGCCTGTACTCTTTCCAGTCGTTGATAATCTTTCTTCAACCACAGTCGCCAGGTCTGGATTGAATACTCTAAGTGAGACCGGACGAATGCCCCATAAGTTTTTCCGAAAAACTTCTTGTCGATCTGAACAAATCCTCGCTTCAGCGCAAATAACACCCTTATCGCACTTTTGGTTGCCCTTTGACACTGTGATGATGGTTTCAGCGAGAAGGGCATTAGAACACCCTGGTCTTTCTGTTCCACAACACTTGAGAGGGGCTGCCCACCCAGGACGTATTGAAAGGAATCGTCCTCCTGACTGGTCTTTTTGGTGCGGAGTCTCAACACCACACATTTGTCCACCTTAAAATTAAGGAGCTAACGAGCTGACCAACTGTTCAGGCGGTCGAGACTGTCTTGAGGCGCGTACCTATCTGCCTCAGATCTGATGGGTCTCCACATCTTAACATCGTCAGCAAACATGATGGCGCTGCATCCCAGGTCGTCGACGCAGTCGTTAATGTATACCAGGAATAGCAACGGACCTAAGACGGAGCCCTGGGGTACACCACTTAGAACGGGGGTAGGAGTTGACCTTGAGGCCTTAGTGCACACGGTTTGTGATCTACCGCTAAGAAAATCTGTTATCCATGTCAGCAGTCTTCCTCTTATCCCAATTTCAGAAAGTTTGTAGATTAGGCGTTTGTGTGGGACGCTGTCGAACGCTTTCTTGAAGTCCGTGTAGATGACATCGACTCTACCATCCTCGTCCAGTGCGCGAGTCCATTGCTCCGTCGAGAGCAATAAACTGGAAAGGCACGAGGGGTTCTGTCTGAAGCCGTGCTGCAGGTCTGAGAGAAAATGGCCCTGCTCCAGGAACGCCATTGTTGCTTTCTTAACTATGGCTTCCATTACTTTACAGCAGATACATGTTTTTGGTGAAATTCCCCGAAGGAAATCAAGGGATAGAAATGGCAAATATATTATCGTCACTGGAACCGTTGCTTCTCCTATGACAAGATTAAGACCAGTCCCCATTCAACTTAAGTCAAGCAAGTCTCCTGGGCTCGATGGGCTTGCTGAGTTAATAGTTCGGGAATTATCGACAGATCTGACTATGCACCTTTCACGAGTCTTCGGGGTGTCACTGCGAACAGACAGCCTGCCTTCGCAGTGGGAGAGAGCCGACGTATTTTCCTACGTAAATGAAGTAGCCGAAGAACAGCAGCCCGCTATAGTCCTATAAGTGTGACTTGCCTTTCTCGCAAAACAGTGCGAACCCTCGTAAATCATATCAAGCAATCATTTTGTTATGAAAATTACGTCTGACAGAAGTTTCAGCGTGGTTTTTGGTGTGTAGGTTACTATCTCTCAGGTCTGATTACATCTCCGAAGGTCTGGAACAGTGTTGTAGAAGGGGACTTCGAAGTAGATGTAGAGCATATTGAGTTCCATGAAGCTCTTTTATGTATGCCGCATCAACGCATATTGCATAAAATGAGCGCACCTGGCATCGGGAGAAAAGGCCTGAACTGGATGAGAACATTTATCACTGGTCTAAAAAAACGTGCCCTCGCCTAAGAGGATAAATTCGACTCGGTGAACGTGACTGGCGGTGTTGTTTAAGGTCAACACCTAGTGGACATGGGCCATAGGTTGGACTCAATGGTTGCATTTAATGTCCTGCTTCTGGCGACGACTGTGCGTCTCTTGCACTTTGCAGAGGCCGCTGCAATACGGAGGAGGAAACCAGAACTCTGTAAGCAGCTGGATCACGTGATCAACCTTGCACTGCTATAGTAAGGACAGACAATGTACGAAACTTCATTCGCATATCCGTTCTCTCACTTCCTCCCAACCCCTTCCGCCTCCCCGGCATGGCTGACTGTTGTCCAGCGCAGCCGACAAGTTTTCCCTGTAATCTGAAGGATAAGGGTGTGGTTTACGCCCGGGGTCACTTAGTTTGGGGGAGCAATCGTGCTAAAAGTAAATGACTGGCGATATTTATTTGTAGGTGTCAGAGAAGAGAAGGAAAATATCTCTTGGCGGCTTCTGCGTTAGGTTGGTTAAGAAGCGTTAAGGTATTCATCGGAGTAAAAATACGACAGTGCAATGCCTCCAAATGGGCACTAAATTTATTTATTATTATTATTTAATGAAAAAATGATGCCCCCTTTTGATTGGTGACAGTTTGGAAGACCAGGATTTGTGATACCACACAGTTCTTGGATGTTTGGCTCTTTTCCTCAACACAATTGCTCCCCGGATAAGTGACCCCTGGCGTAAACCATACCCTTGCCATCTGAACTCGCCTGTTGAGATGACTTCTCTCCCCCTCCCCACTCGCCATGCGCACCACGATGCCAGACCAGCAGTCTATGTTTGATTTAACCTGTCATGTTTCACCTGTCTTGATCGATACCTGATTGAATAGTTTATCTTGTCTTATAAATACGCAATTAGAGTGTGCACTTGAATAAGGGGTCACGAAATTTATGGCGTCAATAAATTCTGCGTGATTCGTCGCATATGCCTTGTTTAGGTTTAGTTCGGGAAAACAATGCTTCAAGACTACATAATAAGCATGAATTTTTACCATTTATTTTGCATACAATTGGCATAAAAGTATTCTCCCTTTTACTCATTTGATAGTAAATTACATCTTTTAACATGCTTACGCCCATTCAGAGAAGGGGTTGAGCTAGCATTAAGCTGCTTGAGGAATTTCTTACCGCGATCAACCATAATTCAGAAAGAATCGCGTGTACTGTGTTGTGAGACACCCGAAATTTCAACATAAGTATTGTTGCAGATAACGCACCTGAAACGGAATTAAAATTCTCGCGTACTGACAAAGAGGTGTAACGACTATAGTCAGTTTTAGGTACATCCATGTGTTCCTTCAGAGCAGAATGCATCACTTGGACGACATTCAGCTCGTTGACATGGTGACCAAAACACAATGTCACAAAAAACCTGATCAAAAAATGCAATCTTCTGTTACTTATGACAGAACGATGGGTTGTCGCAAACCCTGTGGTAGGTTGGGCGTGTAACTAAGCCCAATTGTGCAAATGCTCGAGGCTCTTGTCCACGTTGACTGTACTTAAGTCATAGGGGATCAAATCCTGGTAATACGGCGGGCTTTTCAAAATTGAGCAGTATTTCAAATTGTTCAGACCTGCCAAAACCAATCTCTGTCATCCACCCTAATTGCTTATTTGCTATGCCTTGACTGCAACGACCAACTTGGAAGGTAGTTTGTATCCTCTGAGCTAAGTCGTCATCCCAGATACGAGGAAGTCTCTGCCGGCTGGAGAGGAAGTATCGTCAATAGTATGTTTTCATTAGTTTTCTACGAGGCGGCAACCTGGCCGTAGGCAGTGAGTTTAAAATAGGGTAACGGTAAAATATACTTGTCGTTGAAGTTAGCATGCTCAAGAAATCAGTAACTGTGCTTCTGGGGGTAATAACCTAACTCCAAGCCTTTCTCATAAAATTTTTGAGAAAGCCTTATTCGTTCTGTTTAACTGAAATGACCCTGTCCTTAATTTCTACCCGCTAGGACTGTTTCAGTACCAGAGTGGAGTGGCTTTCAATCATGGATGCTGAAGGCACGCTGATGCCTATCCAAATTACGCACAACCGACTGTGAAACCTGGCCACACAATTCTGTCATACTCATGGTGCGCGACACCCACATGGATGTTTGATACTGCAAGTCCCCTTGACGGCCGAGAATTGCTAGGAAGAACGCTGAAGACTATTCAAAAACGTGTATTTCCGACAGCAAATACTTCAAAAAATTATTTTGCCGATAACTTGACCAACTTCCTCAAATTGTATGAAAGAAAATTCCACTGGTTGAGCTAACTATGTGCTCTCACCGTCAAATGAAGAAACAACATGCAAAAAACACAGCGTTTCCAGTGGAAGTCAGCGTACTAAACGCAGCGAATCTTGATTTTCCAAAAAATGTTAGGG